AGCAAGATGATTAGATATTTGATTAAACAAAATTCTTTTTAAAATTTTTGAAAAAACAGAGAGGATAGATATTGGTCAATAATTACTGACATTAGACGGTTCACCTCCTTTAAATACAGGCGTTATTTTGGCTATTTTCAATTGATCGGGGAAAATTCCTTGATTAATAGAACATTTAAAAACTTTAAAAAAAATATGTTTTATGGTATCGTTTGAATCTATGACTATATTACAATTTATATCATCAGGACCAACTGCTTTATTAGTTTTAAGCATTTTAAAAGCACTTTCAAATTCTGAAGAAGATACTTCAAATTTATTTAAGATTAATGGAAACTAGAGATTAATGGAAACACGTAATCATTTATTAAATTAATCATATTTGGAATATTTTTAGCTAAGTTTGGGCCAACAGACACGAAATATTTATTTAATTCTCTTGCAATTTGTTTGGGTTCATATAAAAATATACCATCAACTTTTATAGTGTTAGGTATAGAGCATAATTTTAATTTACTATTTCCTGTAATTTGACTTATAATTTGCCATGTGCGTTTTGAATTATGTTTATGTTTTTCTAGTAAATCATAGTAATATCTTTTTTTAAATTTTTTTATCTGACTTTCAAACATTTTAGCATAATTTTTATAAATAATTTTATTTTCTAGAGTTGGTTTTTTTAAGTACTTTATATACAGTTTTTGCTTTATTCTTGAGGATTTCCTAAGATCTTTATTGACCCATGGTGACTTTAAACTTTTATTTGTTTTAATAAACTCACGTTTTGGAAAATTTACATCATATATTTCATAGAAAGTTTGAAAGAATGTATCGTATACTTCATTAGCTTCAAACGAACTGTTTATATGATTCCAATTTATTAAAGATAATTGATCCTTAAACGACGCAAGATTAGCATCGGTGAAAAAGCGTTTGATAATGGCTTTTTTATGTTGTTGTATTAATTTGTTGTCAATATTATTAAAGAAAAAAATAGGGAAGTGGTTGGAAACGTCACTTTTTATTATACCTTTTTAAAGAGTTTTATTGAAGATATCAGTTGTTATAATGTTGTCAATTAAGGTAGCTGAAGTTGAGGTTACTCTAGTAGGTTTGTTAATTAGTGGAATTGATCCATGTTCGAATAAGTTATCGTAAAACTTTTTAATGTTGTTATTAACGTGATATTCAAAACAATTTAAATTTACTTCACCAATTAGATAATTTAGTTTCTTTTCCTTAAAACTATTTTTTAAAATATCATTACACAAAAATGCATTAAAACTTTCAATATGGCCAGATAGTGGGTGATAACAGCAGCTTATAAGTATGTTTTTAGAATTATTGGTTAAAAGTTCAATTGTTAAATTTTTTTTATTGTCATCAGAAATACTCATAAATACTTAAAAATCACAAATATTTAAAAATAAAAGTAAAATTTGTATAACTTACTTTTTTACAACCAACACAACTACAGTAAGGATGTACATTTGAACAACCTGAGCATTTAATATTCCTGTCATCACAACAAAAAACTTTAAGCTTGCAGTTACATGCTAGCAGACCAAAGAGTTTTTCTTTATTTTTTTCTAACAATTTTTTGGTCAAAGGTTTAATTTTATTTCCATTTCAAGAAATAACATTATTATAAAATCTTAAAAGTTTAACAATCAAACTTTTTTCAGGGAACCAAAAAAATTTTGGAATTGCAATTGAACCATATTTCTTTTAAACTACAAAGCATTCTTTGAATAATAACATTTTTGTCTTTAATACTATCTAAATCTTTTAATTTGTAGAAAAATTTTGCTACATCACCATAAGTTGCTAGATCTGTAATAGGAAGATCAGAAGGGCTACCACCATATAAATTACACCAGCTAGTTCTTTTTACAGGAGGCATTTTTTTATTATTGTAATAAATTAAGTTTGATAATCTAGTTAATCTATATTAAAGATTTTCGCACTCCTTAAAAATAACAGTAAAACGCTTTCGCAAGGTTCAATCTACAATTTGATACTCTGCTTTTTGGTTTGTTTACATTTTTTTAAGGCTAGGTGTCATAATAAACAGGGTGTCAACTCAAAATAAACTTGAAAAATGTATAAAACTATTTTTAAAAAACAAAATTGAATAACTGGAAAATGTATTTTTTATAAACATTGAATCAGTTTTTTTAGTATGCCTTTCAAAACTGTCTTTTCTTGTTCTTTCAGTTAATGAAGCAAAGTAAACACCCAGATATATCCAATAAAAATGGCAACTTATAAGAAATCTTTTAAGTTGGCATTTTAATGCTTATTTTTAAAATAAGATAGCTTCTACTCAATTTTAAAAGTTGCTGTTTTCGCCAAAATTCCTATTTTTTTATAAGGTAATAACTCCAGCTTGAAGTGATAAAAAAATATCTATATAAACGTTTATATTTATTAGTTTTCATAGGTGGGTTTTTATTCTTGGACATCTACAAAAAATCATTTCTTGTGTTTTTGGACGGAGTTTTTCATAAACGAACGAATTATTTCTTTTACGATAAAATGTTTTTACTTGACAAAACTCCCTATTAAAAGCATTTATTTTCTTCATCCTTAATTTTTTATACGCGTCTTCTGATGTAAAACCCTCCTATTATTTTTTTGAAGGTCGTTAGTTGTATGAACGATCATCACCCTCTGTGGCCACTAACTATTCTTTCACTACTTTTTCTATGGTTTTATTTCCAGTTAAACAATCTACGTCTGATTTTGATAGTTGATTTATTTTGTCATTGTTTAAGTCTTTGTCTACTGAGATTTTTTGTGAATTGTATTTGTTTGTTGACTTCTTAATAAAAAACTTTCCACGGGTATTGTTCTGATCATTGGTGTTCAAAGTAATGTTTTGAGAGATTTTATTATCATAATTACTGTTAAAGAATTCAATAAAATATCTGTTTTTGTCACCCTATATAAGTAACCTTCTGGTCCACCAGACATTCACTTTTTATACAAATTCTTCCAGTAAACAAATAAAATGAAGGAAAACTTCTTCCTGCAGCTGATATTGTTGCCGGTACAGTACATTGTTCTTTTTCTCATCCAGGATCAATAATTGGGTTTAATAACTGGGTTTTTAATAGTTTTTAATAGTTTCTAATAGCTTTTTTATTTACTGAGTTAGTGCAAAACTCATTTTCATTGCAGTTTTTTATTTGCCGAGATTTATTCATAATATCATATTTTTCCAATTTAAAGCCAAAAGTAAAAAAAATCAAGTGTCAATTACAGTTTTGTTACAAGCTAAGGCTCTTAATAATGTGAAAAGCTCTGGAGTCCTTATAGATATTTTTTTTACAAACAAAATCTCAAACTTTTTTTCATTTATTTTGATAAAAAATTTTGAACAAAAGTAAATAATAACTGTTATTTATCTAATCCAACTCCAAAATGTCGATAAAAGCGAAAAAAAAATCTTTCTTAGCATCAACAGATAATCGGTTCGGTTAACCTTCACCAGCTTTTGAGCAATTTATGCCAAAAAGATGTCTTGCAATTGTACGTTTTAAAACACTATATTTTTTTGATGCAGCATTTGAAGACGTTTCTTCAATTTTTACTTAAGAAATTTTGCATTTTGCAACAAATTAGTTGCATATGTTTTTCTTAATGTAGTTTCTTGACATTATTTCAATATATATTATATTTTTGAAATTAATTTTAAGACTACTTCTAAAAAAGATATATTTATTTTAAGAGTTATCATTTTAGTTAAGTAATTACAAGTTCACTTTACCTCCCAATGATTTGAGTTCTCTGGAAAGCGTAAATGATTTGGGTTGTCTTGGAAAGCGTGTTGGAAAATTGACTATTTGAGATGGGGATTGAGAAAGTTGTGGGCTTTAAGTTGTGGGCTGTAGAGAACATGGTGATGACAATGGTTTTTTATATTTTATTGTTTTTGGTACTTTTTTAATTTTTAATTTAATAAAAAAATTGACTTAAAGCATAGACAGTACTTATTACACTGTTTAATAGCCCAAACAATTTCCCTCATTACTAATAATAAACCCTAAGCCGTAACAAAGGCCTCCAAATGTGCCCTCGGCAATGTACACCAAAAGTACAAACAGAGTCACCATCTATGCGCAATATGTGCTAATAATTATGTCTACTTAAATATTTATTCAAAAATTTTACTAAATCAAATTTACAATATAAAATATCGTGTCTCTTTCATCAAAAGACTTGCTTGTATGCTTTGATAAGTAAAACTTATTTAATAGGTATAATTGTCATGGTCTACATTGTTTTTTCCATTTTACGTGATATTTCCATCTTCTCTTAAGATTTTTGCAGATTTTGGCTGCAATTGTTAAAATAAAGTTGAAAAAGTCTTTGCTATCAGTCAAATTTTTTTTTTTTTTTGAAAAAATAAGTTTATTGAGAATAAAATTGTTATTGGTAATGAAACCAGAAAATCGGTTAATGAAGACAGAACTTTATTCCATTTAAAGTGTTACATCATTATAGTTCTACGTATTTGTCATATTATGGCGATTTGCAACTATTTTATTTAGAGTTTTATCTTTAATATAGTATAATGGTTTTATTGTAAGATATATAACTAGTGCAATAACTCAATTTAATCTAAAGTTAAAGATAGAGTTTAAGGTCAACTACGAGGAGAAAGAGCCTTATAAAAATTTAAAACGTACACTTCTAAGATCAATTAAAGTTTTTCTTCATAACAAAAAGAAAAAACTGTAATTTTGTGCGCCTTATAAAAAAAGAACCGTAAAAATTTATAAAATAATATAATTGTAGCATTTTTGGTACTATGTTGCATAAACTGTAATTTTTAGTGAATTTTCTTTATAAAAATCTAAGATTTTGGTACTTACAAGCACAGAACAGTTAGTTCAGTTCTTTTAGTATTTTTGTGTGTTTGTTGGCAATTATCAAGCACTTCCAATTTTATATGTTTAGTATATCTATTCAAAAGTTGTTGTTTGTTTTTTTAGAAGTGACAGTAAACCTTAACCTACTTTTTGTTGATGAAGATTATATAGAAGTGTATTCTAATCCAACCAATGAACCATCTAACGTCTTAAAATACAAAATTAAAAATGCGGTATAGTTTTCTTTAGTTGTAAATTTTTATTTTAATCTTTGTTGTATCATTCTTGTTTTTACATCAACTAAAGTGAGTGTTTTTTAACATTTTTTTAGATACAAAACCATTATAACAAATTCAATAAAAATGTTCAATTTGAATTGGTATTGAATTCTTTAAAGTATGTAATTCATTTTATTTCATTGTTAAAATATGAAACTGTTTAATTTTTTATTATTTGCTAAATGTTAAATAAAGTAAAGATAGAGAACTAATAATGTTAATAATTTTTTCACTCATAGAGAACTGAAAATAATTAATAGTTAAAAAACTTATAAAGAACTAAAAGTATTTTATAATTTTTTCACATTCAAAACTTTTTATTTAAATAAAAAGTAAAACAGATATTAAGATATATGCAAAAATAAAAAAAATATAATTTCAAGATTAAAACAAAAACTTATAAAAAATATTTTTATCTATTTAAAATTTCAAGGAAAAAAAAAAAGGTTGCATTTAAGATAAAAATCAGCAAAAGTAACAGGTGTAATTATTAAGAGTAGTTTATTAATTGTGAATGTGTAATTATAACATTTCCTAGAATTACCTGAGTGATTATAAATAACAGTCCTACCCTAATTTTGCTGAAGTTTTCCGAACATTTTTGTAAAGAGTGTGCAGTAAATTTGTCAAGCGCCACATATAAAAAGTAAAAAATCAAGATTGCAAGTTTCAACTTTTTATTTGAAATCAAAAAGAAACTTGAATAAGGCAGTCTTGAGCTCAAAATTGGTTGGTTTAATATGCTGAATAAAAGATAAAGTTTATCTAGAATAACATAACTAAAAGTCTTTGGTATTTTAACTCCAATATAGAAAGCAACATATATTACTAACTTAAAATAAAGTATCAATATTTATTTTGTATTAAAATTACTTTTTTCTCATTAGTTTTTATCATTTTAACCTCATCTACACAACTACTCTTTATATACATTATCTTAACATATCCGTTTACGCGTCTTGTTTGTTATAAAGGTTGTCTTATTTCAAACTGAGATTGTTGAATAAACATTTAGTTAGAAATACAAAATCTTCAGTAAATAAAGATTTTTCTCTAAGCTTTAACTTTTGACTCTTCTATAACTAATTAAAACTCTTGTCACTAGTTTTTCATGTTTTATTTTTCTAATTTAAATTTTACAAAACAATCTCTTTACGTTTAAATAAAAAATGAGAAAAAATTGTAGCGGATATTTGGAAATAGTTTTTTGTACCAAAACGCATATTAATTACTAATGAACAAGTTTCACAGTGTTTCATTTGCAAAAAAAATAAGGGTAAAATGGCTTTTTTGTCAACTACTTTTGTTTAAACAATTGGTTTCTTAAAGCGTAACCTTAAAGTTATAAAACAGCTTTGTTTAGTTGTGTAGAATTAATGGTCTAACAACATTACACTGAAACAATTTTTTGAAAAAACGCAAACTAACATACAGTTTGACAAACAAACAATTTAAATATTCTAGACCATTTTTGACAGCATCGACCACATTTGGGCGCCGTCCAAATCAAATTTTGAGGACCTTTTTTTTTTTTTTTTTTACGTTTCATACAGCAAATGTTTTTTTCGCGAAAAAAACGTTGATTTTTCGCATATGTTTGCCGAAACGAGGGGGTACCGCAGCCCAAACTTTTTTCCTTGAATAGGCCCTGAATGTAGTAGTTCGGTGTGACTGCAATGAAAGTAATGATAAAAATAATGAATAGTCACCGCAATAATGCCATTTTAAGCGTATTTTTTTAGAAAACGAAACACTAGAAAACTTGATTTTAAGTAAAAAATTTACGCCTCAGTATGTTACAACTACTTTTTAAATCTCCACAATGGCCTTTCTTTAATATTTTAAAATGTTGATTGATTGTTAATAAACTTTTAATTTTATACAAGGTTGTTATTTTTTAGAGACGAAGAGGAAAGTCAGTAAAATTCCTAAAAGATTGAGTTTAGTGACAAGGTTGATAAGATGCTAATTCTTCAATGTTAAGTGTCTTTAAAAAAGATTTTTATATGTTCTAAAAGATTTTTTGTTATCAAAAGTAATAGTTCCTAAGTAATTGTGTTATGCTTGATTTAGAATAATTTTAAAAAATTTTATAAATATTTACTTTTTTTCTCAGAAAAGATAAAAGATATAAACATTTTGTTTCGATTGTTTTAGAGTATTGCTTTTAGATGATTGGTGAAAAATACGTTTTGATGAAATGTTAAAATCAATATATTCACCAAATATAATTTTTTTTTATTTGCTTAGAAATTTAAAAATTTTTAATATATTTGTTTAGAAATTTAGAAATTATGTATTTGTTTGTCATCTAAGAAACTTTGTATTTCATGTTTTAGAAACTTTTTTTTTTATTATTAATTGAAGTAAACACAACTGTTTCTAAAAGTTTTATTTGTAATATAGAAAATATTTATACTCTCTAAAGAAAAGTGGCAAAACTGTAAGAAAAAAGAATTTTTATCTTGATTGTATTTTTTTTTAATAATAATTTTCCTATTATCATTGAACTAAATAGTTAGAATTAAGTTGAACTTAATAGTGTTATAATAGTTTTTATAACACTACTCTACTCTCTACTTTTGCCGACCGAGCATTTTTGGTCAGGATAATTGACTGTGACATACATTTATTACTGTATATTAAATGTTATAAGATATTGTGTATCGTTGGAAAGGTAATATAAGTTTCTTTGTAGTATCTTGTCATCAGTAATAGTCTACTTTGTCACTTTTTTTTTTTTATTTTAACAAATAAAAATGGAGGAATAACACTTGAGTAATGGTTTTTTTCAAATGTATTTGAAACTTAAAATTATTTAGCCATTGTTCTGGAAGCTAAATAAGCGCAAACTGCTATATGAGGAAACAGTTTGTATGCTCGTATTTATGCTCGTGTTGGCTCCCAGTTATGAAAGTTCGCACTTTTACTTTTTTATTGCAATTATTTAATTGCATTGCATCCCTAGTTGCAATGATTTCAAAGAAAACAATTTTCATAAAAAATTGATTACGTATGCTTTCAGGAATACTGGTGATAAGGCTAGGAAAAATATTTTAAAATTTTATGAAAACCTTTTTTTTTTACCTATTTTTTAAAGGAAATTTATTTAAGTTTGAATAACTAAAAAAATTTTACAAATATTTTATTATATGTTTACTTTCTTAGATTTGTATGCGACTAAATACAACCATTTAATCTTAGTAATGCTCTTGCAACGGTAAATAGTTTTTTTTTTTAACTTGAAATTTACCCAAAAAAAAACTATTCAATTATTAAAACCTTAGCCAACAAAAAGTTGCAATGCTTAAATGTCATAAAATATTAACTTTTAGTACCCTCCCCCTTAATTTTAAAGGGACATAAACGTGGTCATAAAAGATGAACGCTGAATAGCCTAAACATAAAATTCGAAATCTGTCGATGAATAAAAAAAAAATTTTTAATGTATTTTAATATTTTAGAAATATTAAAATACATTAAAAGTACTAAAACGCATTAACAAGTTTGCGAAAAGTTAAATTTGAGTATTTTAATTAGCGCTACAAAAACAAAGAATTTAAAAATTGATAATTTGTTTTATTTATAAAAAGTATATATTATTTAGAGTTTGGTTATTTTACAATTTATATTATTCTTGTTATATTATTATTTATTCTTATTTTGAATATGGTTTTAAAAAAATATGTGAAATTAAATTTTTTGAATAGTGTTAACTTCAGTAAAATGAATTTTGTGGTGCATTTGGGACAACAAGTTATTTATATAATTGACTAAATTACTACTGACTTGTAATGCTGTTTCTAGTTAGATCATTTAATCATCAATCTAAAGTATTATTTTCCTTATTTAGAAAAGTAGCATTAATAAGAAAACCAGATAAATTTCTTATTTTTAAAACTTAATCTGATTAATAATAGTGTTTAGTGTAAACAAAGATGGTAAGAAACTGTATAAGAAAGATCAATCATTCAATATATGATGGAATGCAGTTTTAGCTGCAAGTAAACGGGAACTTAGAACTAGAAAAGTTGCTAATAGCATTTTTAAGTTTGCTCTAAATAGGCCAATTGCTAATAAATAAGCCAGCTCAGCAAAAATGTTGCCAAATAAATTCAGTATATTTTTTGTGAGATTCATGTGGTTCATAATACTTTTTGTTTAACTATGAATATAGTAGTAGTTACCAATTTAGTATTATATAGGTTAAAGCAAGGGCAGGTATTTCAAAACAAATTTTGATTTTGAATTAAAAAGCAATACTCCTAATAAGTTATAAAAATCTCATCTCCATTATTCATTAAACTGATCTACGTGATTTTCAAGTAAATGCATTTTTGGTGGTACCAATATTAACTTAGGTTATGAAATCTTGGTGGTACCAATATAAACTTACGGTAAGGAACTTTGTAAAACCAATGAAGTAACAATGCCTAACAATCCTAAACATAATCAGAAGGAGCGCATTACAATTGCGTTTTAACCTTTCAAAACATTGCAAAAACTATTTACACTCGTTATTTAAAATTCACGACATATCTAAATGCATTTACCAGAATAAACTGAACTTGTTTATTCGCCTTTTGGGTAACAAATCGACAAACAATATTATTAAATCTTAACAATCCCATAGTAAAAAATCTTTTGTAGATGATGACGATCAGGTGTACCATATTACTGAATTATGCTTTGAAAAGTTAACGAATGAAAAAAATAGAATACGTTTTGTGTGGTGGAGGATAAAATCCTGAACGATATTAAAAGAACATTAAAATACTTATTAGATTAGTGGCACGTAAAAGAACAGAAAAATATTTTAAAGCAAATTCTAGAAGAAAGTAATCCAAATTGTTATTCTTCCTTTTAAACTTTAACCAATGTTTTACTTTTACCTTTTTAAAAAATTTACAGTAGGTAGTTAAGAAAAAAGAATAATAAAAACTTTTATTTAAAAACCTTTACGAAATTAATTAATAATCTTTAGAATATGTTTATGTATTTACTTTTTCAATTGCAATCTGATGCTTTTCATACATGAAGTAAAACCTGGTGGAATTTTTTTAAAACAAAAATATGTCAAAACAGTTATCGTTATAAAATACTGAATCGTGTTTATTAAAACTGATGCTCAAATAATCTATATTTAATGGAATGCATTTTTTTCTCAGAAATAAAAAATAAAGCAAAAAACTGATTTAATTTGGTTACTAAACAAGAATAAACCGAGAAAATACCGTAAACCGGGTATTTACTTTGTTTATTGGTTGCTATTGTTCATTAAAAAACGAATTAATTATTTTAGATGTTTTTTTTAAAGAAAAAGTCAAAATACTTTGTACAATACCTCAATTAGTGTAGCTGTGTATATAGTGTAGCATAGCAGAATAAAAATTAAAATATCATGTGTAAAAACAATTTAGTCACACATTCATATGTTGTTTTTGTATGTGTTTCTATGTGTGTGTATCAGTATGCACACACACAAATGTGTGTATATATATATATATATATATATATATATATAGTATATATATATATATATATATATATATATATATATATATATATATATATATATATATATATATATATATATATATATATTACATTTTAAACAATATTCCGTTATAAGTATACAAATTAAAAAATAAATTATAGAAGTTACAAGAAAATAACAAAAAAAAAATCGTAAATAAGAAATAAAAGAACGCGGGGACTCGTAGAAGACTGTAAGGTCTTGTCGTCGAGAACCGCTAAAATGAACGTGATACAAACAAATTAAAAATATTCAGAAAACCCGTTATAAATATGAAGATCAGTTACATAAATACTATATAAGTTAATAAACATATAAATAGTCGTAATTATTGATACATATTCTTGGTAAATATATAAATTATAAAATAATAATAGTTCTTTGATAAGTGAAGGTAAAATGGGAAAACTATTAAAAATTATTAAAAGTAAATTGATAGATCGTCAATTGTAAAACTTAATTCTTTTAACTTTCGTTTAAAAGAGTTGTAATTATATTGTTGGATAAAATCTTGAGAAAAGTTTTTTAAGACAATATTGTTCCATAAGAATGGTCCGCGAGAAGTAATGCAGAATTTGCTCAAGTTAGTTTGAAAAAATGGCTGCTTAATAAAATTGTTATTGCGTAAAAAGTATTTATTTTTATCTTTTGACATATACAAATCATGGAAAAAAACTGGTGAAGAATTAGTTTTACATCTGAACATTAAACAAAGAGTATTATAAACATTGAGTTGATATACATTTAAAGCGTTCATTTTTTTTAATAGAGGCTTTGCATGAGTAAGACGTTCACTAAAATGTATCAAACGAGCTGCATGCTTCTGATGACGATAAAATGGTTCAAGTTTGCTTTTATTGGTGCAAGCCCATGCAATGTTTGCATAATTTATATGGCTATGAATAAAAGAGAAATATAATTGAGTTAAAATTTTTTTATTTAAAAAGTTTCTTGCTTTATATAAAATTCCTAAACTTTTTGAAGTTTTGTTATATAAATTTTCAGTATGACTTTTCCATGAAAGATTATCATAAATATACCCACCTAAGAATTTTGTAACGTTTACTCTGATTATTTTGATGTTATCAATATAAAGGGATGGCATTTCATGAGGCAGTAGTTTTTTATTAGAGGGCGGGTAAAAGAGAGTCCAGTTTGTTTTTTGAACAGTAAGCGATAATTTATTCAATTTAAACCAGTAAGAAATCTTGTTTAATTCTACATTCATAAGTTGAAACAGAGTAGTGATGTTAGTATGAGATAAGAATAAGTTTGTATCGTCTGCAAACATGATTGTTTTTAATCTGGATACTTTATAGAGATCGTTGTTATATATAAAAAAAAGAAGAGGTCCGAGAATAGATCCTTGAGGAACACCACAAGTAATTTTTAACAAACTTATTGGAGAAGAAGCGTCAATGGTTACAAATTGTTTACGATTACTTAAATAACTTTTTTTCCACTTTAAAACATTTCCAGTTATTCCGTAATTTTTGAGTTTTTTAAAAAGAATTTTATGATCTATTGTATCAAAGGCTTTCG